CTGTGGAAATTCTGTGTACTAAAAAGTTGTATCAAGAAAGAATAAACTAGTTTTAATTATGAAAGGACTTATATCGCTGAAGTTCTTTGTAAAGAAATTATACCGGAAATTAACAAATGAGCAAATATGTAACAGTATACTACAGGTACTGTACATGTACAGTATATATTTTGGTTGCTAGATATAAAACACAACATTTTCTTAAGTTATGGTCCCTATTCAATACCACATTTCATTGTTTCTTATAGTAAGGATAGAAATAACCACTTGAACAAATGAAATTTATGTTTAAAATTACTAGCTTCTTATATTCATTACATATTTAGAAATTAAAAAACTGGTAAGCTACATTAATATTATTTGCAAAATACTGTTGTTTTTGAATTCCTTGTAATTTTGGAATGGACATGCTTATTAAGAACTGTTATGTGAAAACAGCACACTCTAGAAACTAGTAATATTTATGCATGATGAGCATGTGTAGCTACTGAAAGTTTTTAGTTCTTACAAGAGAATATTACTGGTAACATTTACATCAAGAAATACTGTTCATATATAACTCATCTGTTTGATACTGATAATATTTAGATACAAATATCGTGCTAGCAATAGTAAATATTTAAAAATTCTTCTTTGAAGAAATCAGTTGATTATTACACAATATATCAGGTAATCAGTAAATTCTGTATACTTCCAAAGGTGACATTATTCTCAGTATTTAATGGATCATAAAATGAAAACTGTTCTGGTTTGTTTTAAATGTTAGATATATCAATCTTTACAACATGTCAATTTCTGGCTATCTTTTAAAATAAGGTGAAAAAATCCTAATGTTTATTTCCACCTTTACAAAGTAAGTGTCTTTCAAGCTATGCTATATTTAAAATAAATGCTTGGGGTTTCATGTTTGGAACTCTTGAAACTTCCATTCTACCCACACTTTTATAAAAGTATTAACAAAGGTAGTACCTGGAAAAAAAAAGATAGAAAATATAAATAAACAGGAGTCTGTAGGTATTTTCAAATTTAGAAGTTAAATTATTAAACTTAAAAATGGAAAAACAGTGCCCTTAACAACTCAGATATCACTCCTGGGGAAACACTAATAGACTTCTGTTGCTTCTACTCTGTACAGAAAGAAAGAAATACAGCACTTGTTGTCCACCCTATAACCCTATATCACTTTTACAAAATTTCAGATGTGTTCAATATTGAACTAGATGCACCTACCAGTTAAAAGCAATATTTAGTGTTCGTCTACGAAGGCATGGATTACATAGCAGGTCCATGATTCCTGCTGTGGGTTTCTTACTGTCTTGATCACAGAATGAGGTGTTCTAAGAAAAAACCACCAAAACTTGTGCCAAAATAGGATATTTATCTCTAATTCACTTTATACCATCAACCAGCAATGAAAATAATGTGATTGGAAAGGAGGGCTCAAACGTATTTCACATTAAACCCGATTTAAGGTGTTCATTAAAACTAACAATAATTGTTTTGCAATATGTACTATAGATTCATCACATGCAAGAACTAGATAAAAATAAACTGCAGCAGAAAGCAAAAATTTCTGAATATTTAACTTCTTAAAACACAAGAAACTTTAGCAATACATTAACATGAAAATATTTAGATAAAATTAATTAGAAAATCCAAAACAGTACACTTTGATAAATTTTATATTCCATAAAACTAAAACCATGTCCAGTTATTTTTTACATGATAATTTTTACTTTCTAATTAACATTTAATCAAGCCTAGCTTCATGTAATCACAGTGCTTGAATAAGGTGGAGAAGGGGAGGAGCAGAGCTAATAAAAATATAAAATATCAAAAACATACAAAAACATTATATAACAGTTTTCAATGACAACCAATTTTTGTTCATCTACTTAAAAAATTAGGCTTATATCTAACAATGCACAGAATACAAGTCAATTAACTGCTAGATTTTTCTTTTTTTGAAATTTCATATTTTAGCTGCAAATATTCTAAATTTTCAACAGTGACAAGTGTCAAAAGCACTTTTACAAAGTTTTATTCTTATTTAGCACCATAACTATACTTCCTGGTAATGCCACAGACTTTTGTTTTTAAAATATTTTTAATATATATGTATGACAATTCAACATACACGATACAACAAAGTTTAAATTTGCATTCTAAGTCTTCCATATAAAGAAAAAAGTTGGGTAAAATTTTACACCAGGGATAGGATCACCAAACATCGAACTTTGAATCTGATTGTGGAAATAATACTAGACAATAGTACTAAAGACAAAGATTTCACAACTTCTTTTTTTTAAGAGCAAAATATTAAGTATAGATGAAGATATAACTATATAAAGATTGATGTATCAATGAATATTAGCACATATCAGAAATATTAGATAACTAGCACTACAACTCTGAACAGCCTCATTTGGAATGCATTTACAAGATATTGTATCAAGCTAAAGAGTAGTCTACTGGGGTTTTAATATCAATTTTACATAATTGGAAAATCATCATATTTTTTTTTAGTGAAGCACACAATAGAGATAATAACTCTTTAATGAATAGAATGCATCAACAATTTTGATTGTACTTCAAATACATTTTTCTATTTTTGATTGTATTTCAATTAAATTTGTCTTTAACTTGTTACTGGTTAAGTTTTCTTTGATTTTCCTGCTATCTTTCACAATGTTTCTTATATTTTGCAATAATTGGTGTTAATCATTTTGTAAGATAATAGAACATACTTTCTTTAGTACTGAAATCTTGAAGGTTATTATACAACTTGCCTTATCAATAGAATTAATGAATTCACTTTTACGAGATCTTTGGCTTGGTAAATTTATCATTAAAGAAATGTATATTCCGAAAACATCTTTGATATCATATACATTTTTTCATGATTTATTTACTTTTTTTGTCATCATCACTGTCAGATATAAAAGAGCGTTTAGTGCAGGTAATAATAATTTATTTATTTTGTGAGTTCATATTTCACAATTCTTTAGTTTTTTCATAATAAGAGAGTTAAATGCAGACAATTATTGGAAGCTGTGTTTGTAAGTTATTTATGATGAGGCTATAGAGATTTCTAGAATACCTCAGTGAGAGATATAAGTAGCAGTGACCAAACGAGAGACCAGGGAGCAGGAAGAGTCAAAAGTAAACTCAAGAGAAAGAGAGTTTCAGTCAGAGAAAGGTTAAAAAATGTAAAGTTAACCGTCACAGGAGTGAATAGCCTAATGGTTGATATGTTAAAGTGAGATAAACAGTATTCTGACATTTCAAGAGATTAATCTGTCTTTTCAAAAGGTGTTCTAAAGCAAATGAACCTGCCTGTGTGGACTTTGACAAAAAGCAGACGAGTACTGGAAGTTCAGGATACAAATGCAGTAACTCAACGACAGTGATACTGTTGTGATAAAAGAAAACAAAAGGAGAGAAAGAGAAGAAAAGGAATAAGTGAATTATACACTGATAGCATTGAAGATAAAAACAGAGAAAAATAGTTTGACTTGTCAACTGAATTCTAAAGCAATTGAATTGGCCTAAGTGGACTTTTGACAAGAAGAAGAGAACTGTATAGTATTTAAGATACAACCACGATATACAGTGTAAAGAATTTTTGTACATTCATTTAACTTGTTTTGAATATATTATTTTAAAACAAGCAGATATATATTTAATATATACTAGTCAAAAGTAAGTTTTTGACAAATCACTAAGTCCAATTAAGTCCAGAATGTCAGTACCAATAAAATCCATATCATTTTAAACATACGAGACTTCATCATTGATACTTACAATATTATCACTGTAATTTGGTCGTGGTTGTTTTCTTTGATCATTTATTGCATCATTAGTACTTGCCAATATAGTTTTTGGCTGCTTTCCCTCGTGTCTCTATCTCAATCAAGCAAAAACTGATAATCAATACAGTCACTTCCACAACGAGAGCATGATAAGCATATTGAACATATAGATTTTTCACATGTACAAGGTAAAGGTTCCATTTTGAACTAGAACTGCAATTTGTTTAACAGCCATTGAAGCAGTTTTCAGTAATTTTGATCCATTGATTTGGAGCAGCTAGTGATCCACTGAAGCTAAAAATAGGCTAAATCATCATCCTTTTGGCCAGTGATATTATTCAAAAAAGGAACCCAAAAAAACATCTTTCTGCAATGGGTCAACTGACCAACATGAGCTTACCCAGGTTTCATGACAAGGAATTTTATGTTTAATGGCAAATTTTCTTCAAGTTTGAATTACTTTTGAACTGATTTCAGGGATGAGTGGTAAACTGCAATGTAATGTTGTGTTGTTCTGTTTATTATTTTGTTTCTGGGTTGATATTTGAGGTTTATATCCTGGTAGATGTGTGAGAATTGTTTGAGAATAGTTGATGGAAACATGTTGATGCAAATTAAGGAATGCTTTATAAGGTTGATTTCTTCATCTAGGTAGTCGGTTGAGCAAAGACTTAAAGCTCTGTAAAGATCTTTTTAGTGTATAGATTTTTATTGTTTGGATTCATGGGATGCAGAGACATATGCGATTCAGAAAGCCATGAAAAGACTGTTGTTCAGTTGTCTGAGGCAAAGCACATGTATTTGCTGGAATGTTTAGATCAAGCCCTTCACTCATTAATCAGAAAAGTGTTCTTCTCCTCCACAACAATGCACAGCCACATATGGCACATTTGACGCAACACAAGATTATGGATTTGGGTTGGGAAGTTCTCCCCCACCCACCACATTCTTCAGATATGGCACCATCAGATTACCATCTTTTTCGTTCACTGCAACACTATCTT